TCCCGCTCTAGACTTCCCCGCATAATCTCACAGACGAAATTCCCGCTCGAGACGTCTGCCAAACTCGGGCCGGAGGAGCCCAAAAGTGACGGCAGTTACATGTTTTGGATGACTTGCTCGGATTGGTAACATGAAGCGCGGGCTTCTCTTGGGGGGGGGCTCCCTCTCGAGACTTCCTTGCGATTCACCCACAGACGAGGCTCCCGCTCGAGACTTCCTCAAGTTTCAGGCATGAGGAGCCCGAAAGTGACGCGAAGTGCTTCGCCCGCCCAGAAGGGGAAAGCATCCCCTGAGGGTCCTTGGCAAAAGGACAATATGACCACACAAGTCAAATACGCGAGGTCAAGTATGAGCGGCTATTCGTGGCATTGACAGTCGTCGTCGTAGCCGTCGTGTCGTAGTGTTCGTTGTGCTCGTCGTCGTCGCCCTTCTTATACTGCTCCGCCTTCCTTCTTGCGCAAGGAATGGGACCCCTTGTATGGAACTGGGGACTCTAGGCGATCGTTTTCCGCTTAGCCTGCCAGTGGCAGCATGGTTCGGCAGCAGCTCATCCGGTCGGGGCGTTCGTCAAGGAGTGTGCCCAGCAGGCTTCAGACCTTGAAGGTTCCTTGCCTGATAAGGGCAGCGGTGATGTCCATGGTCAAATCACGATTGGAGGTCCACCAGCTTCCAGACCCTGGGTTCCCAAGCCGATGGTTCCATCTCCAACTCCCTCACCTTGGCAGATGATCCTCACTCCCGCTGCGTCCCTCGAGGCTGCGTTCGCGCCACGGCCCACGGCGGCCATGAGGGACCACCCCAGCGGCACGGCTGGCCGCTCAGCCCGGGCGGCATCCACTGACAAGCAGTGCGACGACCAGCCGCCAGTTGCTGGGCCCACTTTCTCCCCCGGCTGCCGCCGCGCGGCGGGCGCCGCCCTGGCGGCCCGGCTGCACAGCGACAGCAAGTCCGCTTCGCAGCCTCCCTTGTCGGACTCCGCCAGGCCCGCGGGCAGCGGCCGCGCGGTCGGCGCCCTCCTGGCGGCAAAGCTGCGCAGCGACGGCCCGGTCGCCGCGCAGCCCACCCCGTCGGATTCTCCTGCGCCCGCGGGCTGCGGCCGCGTGGCCGGCGCCCTCCTGGCGGCAAAGCTGCGCAGCGACGGCCCGGCCGCTGCGCAGCCCACCCCGTCGAATCCTTCTTCTCCCGCGGGCTGCGGCCGCGTGGCCGGCGCCCTCCTGGCGGCAAAGCTGCGCAGCGACGGCCCGGCCGCTGCGCAGCCCACCCCGTCGAATCCTTCTTCTCCCGCGGGCTGCGGCCGCGTGGCCGGCGCCCTCCTGGCGGCAAAGCTGCGCAGCGACGGCCCGGCCGCTGCGCAGCCCACCCCGTCGAATCCTTCTTCTCCCGCGGGCTGCGGCCGCGTGGCGGGTGCCCTCCTGGCGGCGAAGCTGCGCAGCGACGGCCCGCCGACCGCGCAGCCTGGCCCGCCGGATTCTTCCGCTCCGGCAGGCTGTGGCCGCGCGGCGGGCGCCCTCCTGGCGGCGAAGCTGCGCAGCGACGGCCCGCCGGCCGCGCAGCCCACCCCGCCGGACTCCCCCGGCCACCCAGGCTGCAGCCGCGCGGCAGGCGCCACCGCGGCGGCCAGGCGCCACAGCGACAGCCAGCCTGCGGCGCACTCCACGCCCCCCGACTCCCCTGGCGGCCGCCCGGCGGGCGCCGCCCTGGCCGCCCACATCCGCTCCAGGGCCCTCGACAAGGCCCACTCCAGCCGCCAGGGCTCCAAGGGCTCCAGCGCCGCGCCCGAGGAGCGCGCCGGGGCCCCCGCGGCGCGGCGCGCCTCGCACGGGAGCCGGGGGCCCGACGACGGCCCGCCCGCGCGCTGCCCCGTGGGCCCCGTCTCCTCCTGCGCCTCGGCGCCCGCAGAGGCCGCCGGCTCGGTCGGCGCCCTGGCGGCCCGCATCCGCTCGATGCAGGCGGCCCGCCAGGGCGGGCCGGGGCGCGCGGAGGGCGCGCCGGCCGTGGCCGCGGCGGCAGCCTCGAGCCCGGCCGAGGAGGAGCGGGCTCCCGCGACGCGGCGCGCCTCGGCCGGGAGCAGGTGGGCGGTGTGCAGAGCAGCGGGCTCGCCCTTGTCGGCACCGGCGCGCAAGCTGCCCGCGCAAGGGGTGGCGCGTGAGGGCCCGCGCCTCCCACGCAGCGCGCCTCGCTGGCGGCCCGCGTGAGCCGCGGCGTGGGGCCGCGGCTCGGCGGTGGGCCGAGGGGGGGAGCGCGAGGGAGCGGGCCTTCGCAGAAGGCGGCGGGGCGTCTCAGGAGCCACCTGGCCCTTTGAGAAGTTCCCTGTGCCTTCCGGGGAGGCTCCAGGCGCTTCTCCAGGGGCCCGAGGCCTTCCCTCCCAGGTTCGTCGCCGAGCTGCGTCATCTCGCGCAAGACCCGTTCCCAGAGATCCGACGTCGTGGTTTTCTCAAGACAGGGTCCCCGGAGGTCTCGACCCATTCCCCAGGACCGGTTTTTCATACCGAGTCGTTTTTTGACGGTCCCGGGGCCTGGCGAGGCCCCCTTGAGGCCGAAAATGGAGAAAACAATCCGTCGTGATTTTTTCAATGCGTCGGATCTCTGGGTTTCTGATCGTCGCTCAGGTGGCTGTCGAGGGTGCGGGAGTACACCGGCGCCGCTGCGGGCCGCACGTCGGCGAGCCGGATATCCGCGCACTCGGAGTCTGCCGCGGCTGAGGAGCAGCTCCTCGCCAGCAGGCGCCGCCCGCGCGCGGCGGGGCCGGGCACGCTCAGGATGCTGCGCAGCGGCCTCCTCGGGGACAGCACGTGCACCATGCTCGAGGACCCTCCTCCTCCTCCTCCTCCTCCTCACCGCCTGCGTACATGTTGCTTCCCTCCTCATCACCTCCTCCACTAATTCTCCTCCTCCTCCTCCTCGTCCTGTGTCCTCTCTCTCCCTCCTCCTCCTGCTCCTCCTCCTCCTCTCCTACTTCCTCTCCTAACTCCTCACTCTCCCTCTCCTCATCTTCCTTCCTTCATTCTTTCCTTCCTTCTTTCCTTCCTCCCCCTCCTCCCTCCCATCCCTGCCTCTGCTCCCCGAATCAGCCTACCGTTTCGGCACACCGCTCACACGTTTCGTGGCCCCATAAGGAGCTCCACTTAAGGCTACAGTCGCGCAGCCCGCATGTGGGCGACACCCCCGTTGCGGCACACCCGTCGCTCGTTTCGTGGCCTCACAGGGAGCTCCACCGAAGGTCCCAGTGCTGCAGTTCGCCGGTGGGCGACACGCCCTTTTCGGCGCACCCCTCACACGTTACGTGGCCCCACGGGGAGCTCCACCGAAGGTCCCAGTGCTGCAGTTCGCCTGTGGGCGTCTCGCCCGTTTCGGCACAGCCCTCACACGTTTCGTGGCCCCATAGGGAGCTCCTGCTAAGGCCACAGTGGCGCAGCCTGCATGTGGGCGACACCTCCGCTTCGGCACACCGCTCACACGTTTCGTGGCCCCACAGGGAGCTCCACGCGCTCCACGCAAGGCCCCAATGGCGCAGCCCGCTTTTGGGCGACACCCCCGTTGCGGCACACCCCTCACACGTGCCGTGGCCCCACAGGGAGCTCCACCGAAGGTCCCAGTGCTGCAGTTTGCCGGTGGGCGAGTCGCCCTTTTTGGCACACCCCTCAGACGTTACGTGGCCCCACAGGGAGCTCCACCGAAGGTCCCAGTGCTGCAGCTCGCCTGTGGGCGTCTCGCCCTCACACGCCTCACACGTTTCGTGGTCCCAGGGGGAGGATCCACCTGAGGCCCCAGTGGCGCAGCCCGCATGAGCGCGACACGTTCTTTTCCGCACACCGCTCACACGTTTCGTGGCCCCATGGGGAGGTCATCCCAAGGACCCAGTGGCGCAGCTGGGCGATACCCTCTTTTCGGGACACCCCTCTCACGTTTCGTAACCCCCACAGGGGGCTCCACCGAAGGCCCCAGTGGTGCAGCCCGCAAGTGGGCGACACCCCCGTTGCGCTCACCCTTCGCACGTTTCGTGGCCCTACAGGGAGCTTCACCGAGGGCCCCAGTGGCGGAGCCCGCATGTGGGCGACACGCCCTTTTCGGGACACCCCTCACACGTTTCGTGGCCCCACAGAGAGCTCCACGCAAGGCTGCAGTGGCGCAGCCCGCATGTGGGCGACAGACCCGTTTCGGTACACCACCTCACACGTTTCGTGGCCCCACAGGGAGCTCCACCGAAGATCCTGGTGCGGCAGCCCGCATGTGGGCGACACCCCGGTTTCGGTACACCACCTCACACGTTGCGTGGCCTCACAGAGCTCCACCGAAGGTCCCAGTGCTGCAGTTCGCCGGTGGGCGTCTCGCCCGTTTCGTCACACGCCTCACACTTTTCGTAGCCCCATCGGGAGCTCCAGCTAAGGTCACAGTGGCGCAGCCCGCATGTGGGCGACACACCCGTTTCGGCACACCTCACCTCACGTTTCGCGGCCCCGCAGGGGGGCTCCGCGCCGGGCCCCACTGGCGCAGCCCGCATGTGGGCGCCACTCCTGTTTCGGCACACCTTTCCACACGTTTCGCGGCCCCGCAGGGGGCTCCGCATAAGGTCCCCATGTGGGCGTCACTCCCGTTTCGGCACGCCTCTATACACGTACCGCGGCCCCACAGTTGTGGAGGACGATCAATGGAATGGAAGCATGCCGCCAAATAGTTTCCAGATGTTTAAAAACATGTGTCAAACATGCCTAGTGTTCAACACGTCTTTGTTAGCTTCTGACTCGGGGTTGGGCCGCCGTGAAGGTCGCGGGCTTGCATCACGTCGGAGTGTTGTATCCGTGACCTTGTTGGCTCAAGCGCGAGCCCGGTTCAATGCTGAACCGGGTGACCGACTGGCTGGGAGCGGGCGTCATTTCATACCTCAGTCGTTGCCCCTCAGCTCCTGCTTGTCCCGAGTGCCCGCCATACACGTGCCAGCTGACTTGTCCTTCGGTGCCGAGCTGCCCCGCGTGCCCTGGGCCCCCGACGCCAACGCAGGCGTCCTGCCCTGAGCCTCCAGTCTGCCCAGCACCCGACGTGATGCCGCCCTCGAGCCGCATCTGGGACGTGGTGCTAGGCCTTCTCTCTTCGCTCACGATTACAGGGCTCGTCGCGGCGGTTGGTTGCTGTGGATCAGTTTCTCTGGCAACTTCCCGCCGCCATGGCGTCAGGAGCCGTCCAGCCCTGGGCTTGGATCCTGCACAGCGGGGATCGAGGCTGGCAGCAACGGCGAGTCTTGGGCCACTTGCTGCCGCAGGGAGTGACTCCAGTCAATGATCTGCTAGTGGTGTGCGTGACGCCCGATGCCGATGTGAATTTCGAGCAGCTCGAGGGCACGAGCCAGGACTACCAGGCGGTGCGCTTGCTTCAGATCGACGGACCATCCCGCCTGGGATCGCGCGGGCCGAGACCTACAGGTTTCGTCGCCCGCCCACTGCTGCCGAGCTCGCGGTGTCCATGGGTCAGGCTCGTCAGGCGGCAGATGACCTGTACATCCAGCAGGCGGCGGCGGCGGGGTTGCCAGCGGTGGCTCCGCCCGGGGGCGCCTTCATCCCTCTGGCGCAGCCGCTCGCGGTGGTGCCCGAGGGCGGCTTGATGCCGGCAGCTGGTGCCTTGGCTCCCGCTGCTCCTCTCGCGGGCGGCGCGGCCGCGGGCGCCGCTGGGGCTCAGTGGGTGACGGTGGAGTCGACCACGTTCGGCCCTCGCGGGTCACCTGTCACTTTGGCGGCGACTGATCACGTGCAGGGCGATGTCGGCATCTTCACCACTCCTTCTGGCACAGCCGTGTTGGTCCGCGACCTGCAGGCTCACCCCGTGGAGGAGTACGTCGCCATGGAGAGCCATCACGATCTGAGGATCAGCAAGGCTACGATCGTGGCGTCGAGGGATCGTCTCAGAGGCTCGAGGTCGCCTCGTCGGATCGGACGTTCAGCTTCGGGAGTCACCCTTTCCAGACTGGCCCGTGCCTGGGCCTAGGACGGCGAAGTGGTGCTGCAGCTGGCTCTTTCGCCGGCAAGGAGGACCTCTCGAGCACCGCCGCTCGCTCATCATGACCTTCGGCCTGCGGACCGATGACTGGGGCGTAGAGGTCCACCACACTGCCATGCGCTGCCTGGATGAGGGCTTCTGTTATGATATGATTGACGTTAGCAACAGTGCCACGATCGAGCTCCTCCTCAGGAAGGCGCAGCTGGTCGAGTACGTCTACCACATGGACTTCCTGGCCTCGCGCGGTTCTGGGCCGAAGGGCAAGAACAAAGGGGCTCGTCATCGTTGCAGCACGCCGTGTTCGATGAGGCCGCCATCTTCTCGGGGATGACCAAGGACTCGGGCATGGCGATGGTCTGCCCGGACCTCATCGCCCACGTGGCGGGCGAGGTCGAGCGCGACGCTGCGATCCTCAAGCAGGTCCGCAAGGCCCGCGAGGAGAGGGCGGAGCTCGTGAAGCAGGGGGAGAAGGGTAATCAGGAGCAGGGGTGATGCTTCCCCCTCCAGGGCTGGACCGACCTCCCGACCAGCCCTGTCGCGATCACGCCCTTCAGGGAGGGCCCCCTGGACTTACACCTGGGATGCAGTCTGCTCACAGTCATCCTTTTTGGGCCGAGGAGCGGCAGCGTAACTTGCTGCCTCTCCCTCGGCCCGCTTCAGTTTTGCATCAAGGCTTCAGAGGATCTGCTGTGCACCTTGGCAGGTCTACCAGGCGTCGGCTGCTGCGTACCAACCATGTTGATGAAGTTTGTGACGAGGTCGCCGGCGCGCTGAATGAATTGCATCTTGGTTCAGCTTGTCCGCGGAAGACCCAGGGCCCCACCGCCAGCCAGCGGGCCAGTCTCAACATGATTCGCCAGTCGGTCATCTCGGTGGGGCCGCCGCCGGACGATCTGAACGGCCCGGGAGCCCTTCGAGCGCTTTGGGCGAAGAGTGCTTACGGCGAAGGCGCCGTGATCGCTCCCCTCAGCATGGACTCCGTCCACCTGGTCGACCTGCCTGCGGCTGGATCAGCGTCGCGGTCCCTTGAGCATCTGGCAGGCGATCGGGGCAGAGAGATTGCTGAGCGGCTAATTCAATTGCGCTTGCCAGAATCCACTGGCAGGGAGATAGCTAGACTCGAGGGACCTGCCCGACCTTACTCGGATCCTGCTTTGAAGCTTTGAAGCGGTCGCCCGCCCTCTACGCGGAGCTGCTGCGTAGGGTGGCTGACTGCGACCTGATCGAGTGGCCTGTTCTTCGTTTATAAGAAGTCAGGGAAGTATCGTTTGATAGTGGATGGTAGGCTACCATCGTGCCATTTTCGTGATAGCGACCCAGTGGCTTTGGCGTCGGGGGCTGCCTTCTCGGCCATGGAGGTTGACAGTGCGGCTCCTATCCAGGTCGGCTCGGTCGATATCGTAAACGCGTTTTACAACATGCAGTTGCCCGAAGCTCTTCGTGATTTGTTAGTCCTCCCGAGGGTTCGTGCCGACCTGGTGAATGTCTCGTCGGCTCAAGGCCGCGCTGTCAGACGGGGCCAGTACCTGCTTCCAGTCCTGAAGGTGATTCCGATGGGCTGGAAGCTATCCCTCTGGGCCTGTCAGCAGGTACTTGAGCATCGAGCCAGAGGGGTTCGAGGCGCGTCTGAAAGCAATGCCGTGGTTGATCATCTCCCCCTCCTTGTCTGGAGCCCTTCGCGCACACTGAGCATGTTGACAACTTTTCCGCTTTCGGGAAGGATCGGGAGGTAGTCAAGGGCGTGGCAGAGGAGGTTCAGCAGGAATTGAGTGGGGTGGATCTTCCAACGCATCCAGTGGAGGCGGGTCCCGGCATGACGGCTTTAGGCTGGACCTTCTCAGACGAAAACGCTACTGTTGGTTTGAGTCCTCGCATTGTCTGGAAGATCAGGTTGGCTATTCAACAGATTCTCAAGGACGGGCATGTCAGCGGGGAGACCTTGACGGTTATCATATCTCATTACACGACGAGAGCTCTCATCCGCCGCGAGTTGTTGTGCGTTTTCTCGGCCTGCTTTGCAGCTGACGCTGGGCCTCATCGCCGCCGTCTCTGGGGTTCTGTTCGACGTGAACTGGGCTGGGCCGCTGGGCTCATCTTCCTCGCCTCTCGTAATCTTGGTGCTGCTTGGTCTGAGGATGTCCTCGCTGTCGATGCGTCGTCCTGGGGAGGGTGTATCGTGCAGCAGAAGGTGGACATCGGCACTGTCAAGTCGCTCGGTCGGTTCAATGAGAGGTGGAGATTTTCTCGTGAAGCTGAATTGGGTTATCGACCTCGGGATCACGCTCTCTCGCTCGCTCTACTAGGAGGCTTCGACATAGACGGGCCCGCCCCCGAGGTTCCAGAGGATAAGCTCGACGTCGACTCGAATATATGGGACGGCGAATGGCGGCGTGTCTTGGTGAGACGGTGGGCCCGCTCGGAGGCCCAGGTGATCCTCGAGGGCCGCAGCATGGTTCTAGCTCACCTCCACAAGACGCGTACCCTGGCAAATTTCGGGAAGCGCCACTTGTACCTGGGTGACGCCATGTCCAGCATCCTTGCCGTGTCCAAGGGTCGTTCATCCTCCAAATTGATGCGAGTCTGTCGTCAGATTGGTGGACTCAACCTTGCTTTCGACATAACCTCTCGTTGGCGGTGGCTTCCTTCAGAGCACAATCCCGCGGATCGAGGCTCAAGGCGCAAGCAGGGTGACTGGGCCGAGGCGTCGGCCAAGCCCCGCGCGCCCGACCCTCCAGCTGCTGTCCTACCCAGGCCGAGACATGCTCCGCTGGGCGGGGACGCCCGCGGCCAGCGGGACAGCCGCGTCCGCGCCTTTGCAGCCAGGCTCGGTCGGGCCTTTGGCGTCGACGTCGGCCCCGCTGATGCCCCCGCCGCGGCTGCCAGCAGCGAGGTCTTCGACCGCCCAGAGTTGCCGCAAGCGGCCCGCAGCGCAGTCGCTGGCACCCAGCGGCCTCGAGCCAGACCTTCGAGCCGATCGCGCTGCTCGCCGCCGCAGGGACTGCGGGTCGGAGCCGGCGGTCGACGAGCTCGGCCTGTCTCTGCTCGAGAGGCGCACCGTGAAGAAGCCCCAGGAAGCTCGGTACAAGCGAATGGTGAGTCAGTTTTGTCTCTGGTGTACAACAGCCAATCGAATGATCGAGGACACCACCCAGCTCGACTCGGCGGTGACGGCCTACCTTCACGAGCAGTTCTTCCAGGGCTACCCGAGCTCGGTGGGCACCTACCTCTTGGCGGCCCTCGCGTACTGTCGGCAGGGCCTGTCGCCAAAGGCGCCCGAGCTGCCGAAGGCGGGGCGGGCGCTCTTGGGCTTCCTGAAGGCCGCCCCCAGCCGGTCGAGGTGTCCCCTCCCGTGGCCGTTCACCGCGCTGATCGCGGACTCGCTGATCAACCAAGGCCACTGGGTGGCGGCCGCAGCGACGCTCCTGTGCTTCGTGTTCTACACCAGGCCGTCCGAGCTTCTGCGCCTGCGAGTGAAGGATGCTGTTCCACCACCGCGAGGAGGACCCAGAGCTCTGGCGATGTGGACCCTGCTGCTGAACGCGTCGGAGTACAGCACGCCTTCAAAGACGGGCGAGTTCGACGAGTCGCTGAGCCACGACAATACGGAGTTCTGGTGGGTGGGAGGCCTGCTGACGCGGCTCCGTGCCGGCCGCGGCGCAATGCTGCCGCTGCTCGACCTGAAGTACTCGAGCTGGGCCGCCCTGTTCTCCCAGGCCGCGGTCGACGTGAGCCTCGGCAACCTAGGGCCTCCCACGCTGCACCAGCTCCGCCACGGCGGAGCGAGCCACGAGCTGGCCACCCGCGCCCGCCCACTCGCCGAGATCAAGAAGCGCGGGCGGTGGGCAGCCGACAGCAGCGTGCGCCGCTACGAGAAGAGCGGCCTGTTGCCCACCCAGCTGCAGCGGGCCTCGGACGCCGTGCAGCGCCAGGCTCACGCTGCCGCCACGAGCATCGGCTCGCGGATCTTGAGGATGCCGCTCGCCAGGCAGCAGTGACAGGACAACAGTTTGCTCTAGAGATCTTTTCGGGGTCGGGCCGCCTTGCTCAGGCTTGGCGGCGGGCTGCAGCTTTGAAGAGTATTCAGATATTTGAGATCGACATTCGGCACGGGCCACAGTTTGACTTGCTAAATGAGAGCCTCGTCCGAAAAATCCGCGGATGGGCTCGCGCTGGCCTGATCGCCGCGATCTGGCTGGCTCCGCCTTGCTCCTCCTTCTCGGCCCTCCGGTGCCTCTTCTCGCCGGTTCGATCGCGTGCCTTCCCTCTTGGCCTCCCCTCCCTCTCGCCCGCCGACCAGCGTGTAGTCAACATAGCCAATCGCCTGTGCAAAGTGGCCTCCAGTATCTTAGATTTGTGCCGCAGGCTCGGTGTACCGTGCGTCGTGAAGAATCCTCACACCAGCCTGCTCTGGAATGTTAGAGCTGTCGAGATCCTCGCGCGAAGCTCGTGTATAGAGACGTGCGTCACAGACTACTGCGCCTGGGGCGCTCCGTGGCGTAAGCGCCCGAGGTTTCTCTGTGCCCACACCCCATGCAGGCATCTCAGCGTCACTTGTTCTGGCCGCGGCGTGTGCTCGTTCTCAGGTAAGAAGCATGTTGGAATCATTGGCAACCATCCGTGCGGTGTCAAATTCAGTAAGCTAGCAGAGCCGTATCCTCCCAAGCTCTGCGCCGCTTTTGCCCGCGCTATTGCTGACAGCATTTTCCACCCGCTCTTTAAGCCATTCGGTTAATGATAAGGCCTGTGGCCAGATGGCGCTTTGGAGCAATTTCGGAGAGGTCGGAGCCGCCGTGAATGTATTTTCTCCTGGCGGCCTCCGTCTGTTTGCGTCCCGGCTGCCGGGCATTTCGCTACTGGAAAGTCGTCTTGGCATCCTCTGGCCTCGAGAAAGAGAACGCTCACATGCCTAGTGTTCAACACGTCTTTGTTAGCTTCTGACTCGGGGTTGGGCCGCCGTGAAGGTCGCGGGCTTGCATCACGTCGGAGTGTTGTATCCGTGACCTTCTTGGCTCAAGCGCCCTCCCTGCTTTTAAGCTCCCTCCCTGCGGATCTGCACAGAAGTCTCGGAGAGGTCGGAGCCGCCGTGAATGTATTTTCTCCTGGCGGCCTCCGTCTGTTTGCGTCCCGGCTGCCGGGCATTTCGCTACTGGAAAGTCGTCTTGGCATCCTCTGGCCTCGAGAAAGAGAACGCTCACATGTTCAAAACATGTTTTGAACATGTGAAAAAACACATGTTTAAAACACGTTTAGAACATGGTTCCTACATTTTAAACACATTTTAAAATTCAATGATGGGACTGTTAGGGTGTCCATTGTCATGGCATCCACAACTCCACAGTGGGTTCCGCATACGTATCCAGTGTCGCAGTTCGCATGCGAGGTGCCCAGGTCGACGCGACACAGCTTGGAGAACTGTTGCGTCTAGATCTCGGAAGCGGTCCGGGAACCGAGTTGGAGCGGATATCCCCTCTCTTCCCCTCCACCCCCAACCGGAGCAGGACGAGGAGGAGGACGAGGGGGTGGAGGAGGCGGAGGCGAGGAGGAGGAGGAGGCGGAGGAGGAGGAGGAGGGCGATCACTATGACAATGAGGAGATGAGGAGGACGAGTTGCAGGAGGGGGGCGAGGAGGAGGAGCAGGAGGGCGATGAGGAGGCGGGACAATGTTGAGGACGACGACCAATATGAGGATGAGGACGACGACAGTAATGAGGATGACTACGGACAGGAGGAAGAGGAGGAGGAGGAGAAGGAGGAGGAGGGGGAGCAGGAGGAACAACGATGAGGACGACGACCATCATGATGATGCGTTTTGACGCCCCGTGATCATTTTCAGCTCAAGTTTCGGCGTCCACATCGGCACAATCCTCACGACCGCGGCACTCATGATTGCATATGGTTGGGACCTTCGCCAGGCTAATGTTTAGGCCGATCCCGGTGCCATCTGGGCCCGTACGCGCGCTGCTTCGCACCCCCCCCCCCGGGTCGTCCGACCCGAGAGGAGAGCGACATCCAGGAGATCCTCCGCACCATGGAATTCTTCGAGTTCGGCCCCGGGGAGGTCGTGATGAGGGAGGGCGATTCCGGCAGCCACTTCTTCATCGCGCATTCGGGCCAGCTCCAAGTGACCGTGGCCGGCCGGGTGGTCAACACCATAGAGGCGGGCAAGGCCTTCGGGAGCGCCGCGCTGCTGTACAACTGCCCGCGCGGCGCGACGGTCACCGCTCAGGACGCCTCCGCGGTCTGGGGCGCCAGCGGCCGCCAGTTCCAGGCGCCGCCACGAAGCAAGCCCATAGACACCCGGGGCCTCGACTTTTGAAGCCCTGGCGTGCTCCTTGCCTGCGGGGCCCCGGGGCCCGCGCCCCGCGGGCCACGAATCCAACTGACCTCTGGGCCAGTGGTCGAGACCCTGCCCTGACTCCGGATCCGCCCTACTTTGGGGAAATTCGTAAGTAGGGCTTGGAATTTCCGCCTTACTTTTCAAGCCCCGCTGATGCCAATTTCCGCCCTTTTTTTCTGTTGTCGTTTCCGCCCTACTTCTGTGGATTTTATGTTGGGTGCAGAAATGTCCGCCCTATTTTTTCGGCTTATTATAGGTGGATTTCCGACGCAGTTTTAAGTTGGAACAAAAACCCAAAGTAGGGCGGATCTGGAGCTAGGGTGGGGCCGCGGATGTGGCCTCGCACCGTCCTCTGTCTGGGAAGGGGGGTCCCCGAGGAACCCGGCGGCCCCGGGTTCGGGTCTGTGGGGCCTTCCGCAGGGCCCCTTGGGCCGTCGGCACGAGGAGCGCCAGGGTCCCGCGGAGAGCGCTCCGGGGGCCCAGGGCCTGCCAGGACCCGCTTCCCTCGGTGCCCGCCTCTCTGCGCACCCTCAGGCGGTGGTCAAGGCGAACGCCCAGCGCCAGTTCGCCCAGTACCGCGAGTCCCTCTCCGCGTTCCAGCTCTTCGGGGGCCTCCCGGAGCGGATCAAGGACCGGGTGATTGGGCGCCGCGTAATGGGGGGGTCATACATGGGGGGGGGCGGCGAGGGCCATGGTTCGACAAGGTGCCCAAACGGTGCCTAAACGAGCCCCCTGGGGCTCCGGAGGGGCCCGAAAGGGGCACGAAAGGGGACCGTTTCTGACCCCCCCATTGATGACCGGTCAGAAAAGCATTGATGACCGGTCAGAAAAGGTCCCCTTTCGTGCCCCTTTCGGGCCCCTCCGGAACCCCAGGGGGCTCGTTTAGGTACCGTTTGGGTACCTTTTCGGACCACCCGCGACACCCCCCTATTTGTGACCCCCCCATTAAGCCACGCCCGAGGTGAGCGAGGCGGTGTTCGTGGAGGCGTTCGAGGCGGGCGCCCGGGTGGCCACGGAGGGCGAGGTGGCGCGCTGCATGTACTTCGTGAGGGCCGGGGAGCTGAGGCCGGGCGGCGACGTCTGCACGCGTCCACCGCCTCCTCCTCCTCCTCCTCCTCCTCCTCGTCCCCCTCCTCCTCCTCCTCCTCCTCCTCCTCCTCCTCCTCGCTCCTCGCTCCTCCCTCCTCCTCCTCCTCCTCCTCCTCCTCCTCTTTCTCCTCCTCCTCCTCCTCCTCCTCCTCCTCCTCCTCCTCCTCCTCCTCCTCCTCGACGCTCGAGGGCAAATCCACCGCCACTTATGCCTCGATCTGGCAGAGCCAGCGAGAGGGCGCACGCGCCGCTCTTGGGCCCCGGCGATGGGCCTCGGCCTGGGTCGGTGGACTCGCGAGACCCGGCGTCGCGAGCAAGCTGCAGCCTCGCGAGGCGTCAGAGCGGGCGGATCCCCGGGCCCCGTCTTCCTGCGGCATGCCTCCGTAGGAGGGGCCCCGGGTCGGGTCCGGAGCAGGGCCCGAGCGCCCGGTGGGAAAGAGACGCAGCGCCCAGAGTCGGGGGTTCAGAGCGGGGGGGGGGCGATCCCAAGGTGGGGCTCGGGAACGAACCCAGCTGGATGCTCACATTTCCTTCTTCCAGGAGCTGGTTGATTCGAGCGATGTTGTTCCCAACCCTACCTCTACCCTTACGTCGGGCGGGCCTGTCCCTCTACAGGAGGCAGATTCAAAAATAGTAAACCAACAGTTTGGGGACGATTTTTTTTATATTCTTATTTTCCGCTATTCCTGATCATGCTTGGCTATTTTGAACTTTTCGTCCAACATCTGCCTGTAGGAGGACATGCCCGACCTAACTCAGAGCGTGAAGTACCTACCCCGCTTTCGCTTCCAGGCAAAACCAAGCCATACCACGCGCCTCCTCGTCAAGCGGCCTGACCAGTACAGGCTGCAATTTGGCATCGTTTGGTATCTCTTGGAAGCGAGGGTGGTCAAAAGCGAGGTAGGTTTGTTTTCCCCTAACTCCCCAGACCCCCGACGTAATGATTTTTTCATTACGTCGACCCCCAGAGGTCCCGACCCTTTCCCCATGACCGGCTTTGCATCCTGAGTCGTTTTTTGACGCTCCCGAGGCCCGGTGAGGGCCCCCAGAGGCCGAAAATTAGGAAAAACCTCCCGTCATGATTTTTTCATTGCTCGAGGGGGTCTGGGTCTACCCCCATCCCATCTTTGTGTCCCCCCGGCAGATCTCAGGGTTGGCCGGGGGCGGTGGTGGACGCACGGCAGGTTCGTGCTGCGTCGACGCGGCAGCGGCCCCGCCGCGGGCGTCCGGGGTTGAGCGCCGCAAGTGGCCAAGTCCTCCTCCTCCTCCTCCTCCTCTCCTCCTCCCCCCTCCTCTCCTCCTCCTCTCTCCTCCTCCTCCTCCCTCTCCTCCTCCTCCTCCTCCTCCCTCCCCTCTCCTCCCCCTCCTCCTCTCTCCTCCCTCCCCCTCCTCCTCCTCCTCTCCTCCTCCTCCTCCTCCTCCTCCTCCTCCTCTTCCTCCTCCTCCTCCTCCTCCTCCTCCTCTTGATCAATTTAGCTGGCGCAGCGTTTCACACATTGCTGTCTGTGATTGCTCGACCTTGTTTTCCTACCCACGCGCCGGTCGGCGTGTGGCTTGTGAGTGAGTGAGTGAGTGGCCAAGAATCGGCCAATATTGAACGATCTGGCGATCGGAAGGTCGCCGATCGCTCAAGGCTGAGCGAGACACGTGGTGTCAGGAACCAGCGCCAGGGTCGTGACTGCACGAGCCTGCCGTACACCGACGAACAAAGAACGGCATGCTATTTCTGCATAATTTTCTGACTGGAGGAGAACGATTTAAAACAATAGTTTTCCAGCCCGCGGCCGGTTTTTTCTAATCGTCATCCCGGGCGCCGCCGCGTGAACACGACCCCCGGTCATTTACTAATCTTCATCCTCCATTATGAATTGTCGGAGTTCCGCGCGGATGTCTTGGACCTGCGCTGACCCCCCCTCCCTGACGCGTGGAGCGCGCCAGGGGCGGCGCCCGAGGCGCCGACAGCGGGGCCCAGCGCCGGTACGAAGTCCGCGCGGACTTCGGGAAGTTGTATGTCAATGCCGTGTCTTCTTTCCCTATCAGGAGGATCCGGAATCTTTCACATGTGAGAATTCTTTAAGCTAAACAGGAACATGTCAAGGCATCACCTTTCTAACAATGGAACGACATGATTTCGTTGACTTATATACATTTGAGATCCATTTGTGGGTGTATGCAATGTTGTGTTCGCGTTTTCGCAGGCCGCGGCATGTGCTTCGTGTCGATCGACGTCGCCATCGTCATCGCCGCCACGCCGTCGTCGTCTTTCGCCGCCACCGTCGTCGATCGGTCGCCTTGGACGTCGTCGATCGGTCGTCGTCGTCGTCGTCGGTCCTCGTCGCCGCCGTCGCCGCGCAGTCGCCGTCTTTCGCCGCCGTCGTCGTCGTCGCGTTCGTCGTCGGTCGTCGTCGTTCGGTCGCCCTCGTCGTCGGTTTCCGTCGCCGTTGTAGCCGCCGCGCGGTCGCTGTTTTTCGCCGCCATCGTCGTCGTGGTCGTCTTTGATCGTTTTCGTTCGGTCGCCGCCTTGGTCGTCGTCGTTTCGACAGCGACGACTGCTCGCGCTCGTTGTCGTCGTCGCATCGACGGCGACAACGAGGATTGCGACGGCAGCGACGACGAGAACCACGATGATGACGGTGATGACGACGAGGATGAGGACGACGACGGCGACGAAGACGACGAATCCGACGACGGCGACGACGGCGACGAGGACGGCGACGACGGCCACGACAACGAGGACGACGATGTGATGACGACGCGGAAGACGACAGCGACGATAGCGAAGGCGGTGATGACGATGGGGTCGATGACGACGACGAGGACGACGACGGCGGCGACAACAGTGGCAAAGATAACGGCGGCGACGACGACGGTAATGACGACGGCGATGGCGATGACGGCGACAACGAACGACGACGAAGGTGATGACGGCGACGGCGACGACAATCAAATACAATAGACAACTCTCCACGCGCTCGCCCGCGAGCGGACCCACATATGAGGAGTTCTGCCGTGTCCACAGTAAAAACCGCCATGTAAGCTTGGAAACTGAAGTTAAACTTTCACGGCGACCGAATTTATTTCCGAGTAAACACCTGTTTTAACATGCGTGTTATGGATTGTCCATATTGCAGAACGCGCGCGTGATGGCGCGCACGTGACACGCGTCACCCGCGTGCGTGCGCGCGTGTGGAGTTGCGTACTGCGCGCAGTGCAAAAGTCGCCGCGTTCGCTTGCAACTTGGCGGTGACGATCGGATTTCCAAATGTATATTGTTTTCATGTGTGCGCGTTCTCCACCGTGGACATCCAAAGCTTCCCAAGCAAGCGCGCGGGGAGGCGCGCGGGTGACATCGCGCACGTGGATAATTTTGTGTTGGCCATGGCAGAAGGATTTGCCTGGAAACTGAAGTGAGCCGTCAGAAGGGTTCGATGGGTTGTTTCAATCTAGCATGGGTTTAAGGTCCTTACATGTGCATCCAATGATGCAGCACACGACGCGCGTACGCACTCGCCCGCACGGGGGGTTCTGTATATTCGACAATACGAAAACCGCCATGTTGGCATGGAAACTTAGGTGACCCTTCAGCGGCGACGGCGAGGGCGACGGCGGCTACGGTGACGATGGCGGATTGTAAGATTAGGGCGGCGAAAGCCACGTCGGCAAGGACGACGACGACACATGTCAACCGCCGCGCGCGTGGAGAGTTCTGTCTTATCCACAATGCAGATGTGGCCATGTTGGCCTGGCAGCTAAAGCGGACCTTTTTCGGTGGCCGATGCGATCTCTGAATTGCCGTGGGTTTTTTGTCGCATATTCATTGCTGCGGATTATAGCTTTCCACGCGCCCGCCCGCGAGCGGACCCGCACGCGAGGATAGTTCTGCGCTGTCAGCCGTGAGAATCCCCATGCAATCGTGGTAACCGACCTGATTTCCTAGTGAACGTTCAAAGAATGCATGTTCTGGATTGTCGACATTGCAGAATGCGCCCGCGATGCGCGCACATGACACGCGTCACCCGCGCGGGTGCGCGCATGAGGACTTGCGAATGGTGCGCAATGCACAAGTCGCCGTGTTCGCCTAGATTTTGGCGGTGACCGATCGGATTTCCAAAAATCACATGCTTCGCAGAGAAGTTTATTGCTTAACCACTGAAGCGCGCCCTGCGCGGTGATCGATTGGGTTTTCAAGTTAAATGTGGTCTGCGAAGTTTTGTCTCGCTGTTTGTTTTCGCGCCACGCTGAATAGCGGGATCGTTTCGTTTTTTTACGGTTTCGTTTGGGGCCTGTTCGTTATTGAACGCGGGTTTTACACATGGGTTTCGTTTGGTTTTTTGTGTTAAGCGCAAATTCGCTTTCAAACGACAGATGGGTCGAGCCGTATCGCAGTGTCAATGTCGTCGTCGTCGTCGCCTGTTCTCGTCGCCGCCGGCATCGCCGCCGTCGTCGGCGCGGCCGTCGTCGTCGTCGTCATCGTCGTCGTCCACATGATGTCGTCGTCGTCGTCGTCCTCGCCGTCGTCCTCGTCGCCGTCGTCGTCCGCGTCGCCCGCGTCGTCGCCGTTGTCGGATTCATCGTCGTCGTCGTTTCTGTCGTCGGCGTCGCCCATAACGTGGTTGCCGCCGTCTTTTTCGTCATGTCGTCGCCGTCGTCGTTGCCGTCGTCGCCCCCGTCGCGGCGTGGTCGTCGCCGTCGTCGCATTCGTCGTCGCGGCTGTCTTCGCTGTCGTCGTCGTTTGGGCATCCATAGAGGCCGTTCTCGTCCTTTTCGCATTCGTTTTCGTCGCCGTCGTCGTAACCGTCCACATCAGCGCCGTCGTCGCCATCGTCGCTGTTGTCGCCGTCGTCGTTGTCATCGTCGCCATAATCCTCGCTGCTGTCGCCATCTTCGTCGGCGTCGTCATCGTTGTCCTTGCCGTCGTCGGCGACGGCGGCGTCGTCGTCGGAGCCCTCGTGCGTCGTCGCAATCGACGCCTTCAT